ACTTGAGCATACTCCTTTTCTATTTTTCATAATCTTCATTATGCTGTCTAAAACATCTAAAAAATCTAATAAAAAAATTCCGATTAACCAACTGCTGAATCTTCAGCTTCGGCTACATTGGCTTATCCTTTTAATAATTTTACCAATATTAACCTTTGTAACAGCAACAACTTACAGAATCATTAGCAAAAGTTGCTTTGTAGCAACAAGAAGTAAAAAAAAAAGTTTAATTAAGTTTATATGAGCAAAAATAGAATAGCAGTATTTATTATAGCTTGGTTAAATATTAAAAAATGGGTTGTATTAATTACAATCATATCAAGGTGTTGATTATTTGTTTTAAAAGCTTCAACATTAAAAATAAAGTGGCTATTTTTTTAGACTAGCTAGAACTTTTTTTATTAGATATCCCAATCAAATGTTTGTTGTATAATCATATATAATATAACTATAGAAAAAAAGATTTATGTGTTTTGAGTATATTAAAACAAAGAAAAATCAGAATTAGCTTTTCACATCTTTATATTTTCACATTATCCTACTTTAAGCACTATATATAGTTTACATAGCTAGAATATTTAATTATGAATAATCAAATTTAGCCTTTTTTAGTTAATAAATCTTTAAGTCAAATAAATAATAGTGGAGAAGATTTTGTTAGTAGGCATGAGAAAGATAAATACAGAAAATATGAAAAACACGGCAAAGAATTAGATAAACAAAAAGCCAAGAGAAAACTTCAGAATGCATTGAATATGTATAAAAAACATGCTGCAGAATCAGTTGAATAGCAAGATGAAAGAAATACACTAACTATGTGTGAAATATGTGCCTTAGAAGCTGAGAATGCAAGCTCTAGTTCAACTTTATACAGTATTAGCAGCTTTCTACAGCAGACTAAATGCTTTTACATAGTTTTAGTAATACTATAAAAAAGCTTAACAACAATCGTGTACAATAAATAATTTCCATCTATTGAAATTGTTAGGAGGAAATATAGGCATTGTTACAGTGAAAAAAGCATGCCAAAAAAATTTTTTGCTAAGAATAACATGGCCCAGACAGTGTTGTATATAGAATAGTTGGAATATAAGTTGGAACATTTTGGAACATTTTAAGACAATTTTATAAATTGAAATTACTTAAAATTTTATTAAAATAATCTAATTTTAAATTGATTTATTAATTATTAAAACTTGGAACATAGTTGGAACACTTGGAATACTGGGATGTTAAAATATTGGGATATGGCAAAAAAAGGCTGAGATAGCAAAAATGTATAACACAGAACCTAGGTGAATAAAATTATTTTTAATTTAATCTTTTTTA